GAAGAGCGTTGGTGAAGCAGCACAATCAGCAGAGCAAGGAAAATGGACGTTTACAGAAGAAGAAGGTTCTGGAATCGTTCACAGAGATCAGCGACATCGACGCCATCATCGAACAAGCTGAACATCCTCAACCTCTCTTTCCAACCCCTCACCGCGCCATCAATCTGTAAGTCTGCCAAACCCTTTTTTGCCCTTCATAAAAAAATGGGAAATTCATTTGTTTTGTTAGTTCCAATTGGGGAGAATTTCACTTCAATTTGCATCTTTTATTTTTAATAGGACTTTGAGGGAGGTGGGTATTGGTGGGTATTCTTCCCAAAATAAATAAAAGAAAAATTAAACATTTGCTTAAAATACAAAATGCATGTAACCAAGTCTCATGGCTCGGAGATTGTAAGGTTTGTTCTCAGACAGGTCGACTTAGTCGATCTAGTGCTTCCAAGATCGATTTTTTCAGTGTTAAAATAATATTTGGCTAGGGAAAGTCACGTTCTATAAGAACGTATTAATCTTTGGTTATATTGTGTGAACTATATCTATACATTATATATATATATATATATATATATATATAATATGCATGTTGTCAGGGTTAAAATACAAATTTGGTTCACGTGTATAGAAGAGCATTGTCGGGAGAGTTCAGCTCCTTAAATAGTCTATGCTCTTTGTTAGATACCTTGGGTTCACATAAAAGATGCATCTGTATTGTACCAATATCAACTTGTCAACAATTTTAAAGTATCCTTGCGTCATAACTTGTTTGTAGTTGTGTACTTATATTGTGCCTAACTTAATGTGGGTTACTTAAAAGGAATTCTCAATGTGTAGAGGAGACAGTGTGAGAAATTTTGTATTTTCGTTAAATGGTTGCTGTTTTACCCATTATCCTTCAACTTTGGTGTATGTGTATAGTGAAAGTTATGATTTTTGTTGCGAGTGTAGGGATTTGGACTCTGGCATGGGCACAAATGGCATAACACCTGAAGAAATGAGGAAACTGCGAAAGAAGGAGGAGGCTTTGCATGCTAGCAGTCTCCGTGTTCCACGCAGGTATTTTTTTCATTCATTGTTTTGTTAATCCGTAATCGATTCTTCTCTGTTTGGTTGGTTGATTGGTCTGAGTCCATTTTTACTAACTACTTTAGGCCACCATGGAGTGCAGACATGTCCGTTGAGGAGCTTGATGACAATGAAAGACAAGCTTTCCTAATCTGGCGTCGCAGTTTGGCAAGGTTAGGTCCAGATTATATCTTCTTGTTAATCAATATAAATAATTACATCAAGCTAAATTAACAGAAAAGGGTAAATATGCTGCTGCTTCGCTGCAAACTGGAAATCAGACTTAAAGCCACAGCAATTATAGTTTATAACTATTCCTAAAAGTGGTATATTAGAAGAATAAGAAAATGAGAACAATTGTTTTATATATTTTTTTATTTATATTTGTAGCATGATGATGTTTCAGACTCGAGGAAAATGAAAAGCTTGTTCTTACCCCATTTGAGAAAAATCTTGATATCTGGAGACAGCTCTGGCGGGTTGTTGAGCGCAGTGATTTGGTAAGTTGATACCATCTTTCAACTTTGGTCTAAAAATATTTAACTTTTAGTTGATAAAGGGTTTCAAATTTCAACACGATTGCCTAGCAACAGTGGATAATAGTGTAGCTTTTATGATAATTTCTTATCCCCACCAAGAGATACATTCATTCTTTGAACTAAAAGGCCTATTTTTTTTAGTGAAAACATTATAAGAGTAATTGTTTTTACTGTTCTTATCAGTTATGATAATTGTTGCATCTCCATACCCCACTAGGTGGTAGCCTCGTGCATTGGTTTACAATTTTTATTTTCTCTTCCTTTTGTTTTTAAAACTTGTGAAACTTTTAAGATAATGATCTCATGGGTGTTATTTTGATGAAAATTATATATCTGGCATTTGCTTTGTTTTGTTCTGCTTTTAAGGGGCATGAATTCTTTAAGATGTCCGTATAATGATCTCATTCTCATTCTTTTACCAGCTTGTTATGGTTGTCGATTCCCGAGATCCACTATTTTATCGCTGTCCTGATCTTGAGGTAATACTCCCCTTCTCTTTTTCCTTAATATCTGTGCTGGATTGTAAGCTTAAAGTAACTTGACAAAAGTAGAGACCTTGAGGTCTTTGGCAAATCTAGTTGCAGATTGACAAAGGTAAGATATTGGGGAAGACTTTTTATTCAAGAAGGTGGTATACAAACTGCAAAGTGGAAGATTATATTCTTTATATGTGATGGATACATAATTTAACAGAAAGTAACAATTATGTGGGGGAGATATTGCATTAATTGGTTGATGCATCATGAAAATGAAGTTTTAGCTCCATCCCTCCGAAACAATTCCCATCAATACGTCAAGGAACATGTTAGAGCATTCAAATGAGTATGCAGAGAAGTTTCAAAATGTTAAACATGACATCACTATCATTAGTGATTATTTTAGCTAAGCTTATAACTTGTTTGCTACTCAGATACAACTGCTAGTAAAAATAAAGAATATAATAAATGTATCAGCATGACTATATTTGTGATTTATCTTTTATCTTAGCTGTTAGATACAACATATAGTTTCTGATGATAAACCACTTTTAGCATAGTTTAAACTGATCCTCTTTGTTTGAATAATTATTCTAATTACATGTGCTAACCATGATTTATTTTGTATTGATTTTACGAGACAGGCATATGCACAGGAGGTTGATGAGCATAAACACACATTGCTCTTGGTTAATAAGGCTGATCTTTTACCTGCTTCTGTCAGGTTGAAACTTTCTGCATATGGTTTGTTGTTATATTCCATTAAATCATAACACTTAGTTTTGCATCCAGAAAAGATTCTTACCATTCGTCTCCGGCCCCTTTTCATGCAGAGAGAAATGGGTAGAGTATTTTCGTGCTCATAATATTCTATACATCTTCTGGTCAGCTAAAGCTGCTTCAGCAGCTGTTGAAGGTAAAATGCTTTGGTCACCATTGGAAGCTGATGACTCTAGGAGGAACAATAATCCAGACACAAAGATATATGATAGGGATGAGCTTCTTGCACGGTTGCAGTCAGAGGCAGAAGATATAGTACAGATGAGGAGAAATTCTAGCTCCTCTGGCACAGGGCCATCTAACATTCAATCTCCTTGTGAAAATGTTGCTGGTAGTTCCTCTTCAGATAATGTAGTTGTGGGATTTGTTGGATATCCTAATGTTGGCAAAAGTTCAACTATTAATGCTCTGGTTGGTAAAAAACGGACCGGTGTCACCTCTACTCCAGGGAAGACAAAGCATTTCCAAACTCTAATTATTTCTGACAAACTGACCCTTTGTGACTGTCCTGGATTAGTTTTCCCATCTTTCTCAAGCTCAAGGTCTGAGATGATTGCTTCTGGTGTGTTGCCTATCGATAGGATGACTGAACACAAGGAAGCAGTCCAAGTTGTAGCTGATAAAGTTCCAAGACATGTCATTGAGGAGATTTATAAGATCAGTCTACCAAAACCTAAGTCGTATGAGCCCCAATCACGACCCCCTCTGGCATTTGAACTTTTGGGAGCATATTGTGCTTCTCGCAGATATGTTACCGCTAGTGGACTGCCTGATGAAACTAGAGCTGCTCGCCAGATACTGAAAGACTACATTGATGGGAAGCTGCCTCACTATGAAATGCCCCCTGGAATGTCTAATGTGGAACTAGACTCAATTAACTTGCATGACTCAGTTTCAACGGGTACTGAAGATGTTGACAGTAAACTTGCACCGGATTTTGAGCAAGTATTAGATGACCTCAATTCATTTGACATGGCTAATGGACTTGCTTCAAATGGAGTTACAATCAATATGTCTCCTGCATCTCTCCATAAGAAGCTTCATAGGAAAAAAGATCGTTATTGGAGAACAGAGAATACTGATGCTGAAGGGATGCGGGTTGTAAGGTTCCCTCAGAAACCATTAAAAACAAGTCAACCAACAGGAGTCGGGTCTAGCAGAAAGAAGTAATCTACCACAACCACAACCTGGCGAACCAAGATTTAAATCTCCGCTGAGAAAGTTGTTGACATTTAGTGTTTGACCATACGCCTATGATATTTGTACAGCAGACAACACCGGATCTGTGAGGCCCAGTATGTACATTGTTGGTCTCAGATGCAACAAGTTTTATACTTTATAATGAATGCACTGTAGAACCAAAATAAGTAGACAATCCCGATAAGGCCCACAGAAAAGTTTTGCAACATAACCAAATATTGTATGCATCTTGTTAGTTCAAGATTATACCAAATCTTCATTACTTTCGTAAAAGATACCACTTTTGCTTAATATAAGCCTCCCAATGGGAGAGACGGATATATTTTAAGTGTCCTCAATTAAATAATTCACTCACTTAAACACTGCCGTCCTAGCTAAGCAGATATGGAGGATAATGAAGAACCCTAATGCTTTATGGGCGTAAAAGAGTAATAAAAGTTGTATGGAAGAAACTTCCTTAAAAAGGTAGATGGATTAAAAACGGCACTCTATTAAGATATGGGTCAACAAAATATGGATGTTGAATAGTAATGATAGATCACGGAATATTAAATAGTTGGAAGGAATTCTTCCTACGACTACGACTTATACTCAAAACTGGGTAATTTATACGTCACTTAAGTTCTAAACCACCTATGATCCATTATTTTAATTAGTAGATGAATTGTTTTAATGTTTGTTTGATATTTTAAAACATATAGATTATCACATCCAAGTTCCAACGACTATAATTATCAATTCTAAAAAAAAATGTACTCTAGGATTACTTTAAACATTTTCCTCAGTGTTTTGCATTACATAAGCCCAGCCCTTGATTAATATTAAAATCGATGGAAATATCCATTTGGTCACTAGCCAGTCTAAATAGTCTGTATTTGGATTGGATTATTTTTCAGCAATTATAGTTAATTTTCATAAAAAAATGTTTTAATATATTTTTCTCATTTTGTTATAGGGATGAAATATTCACCAACTCATTAAAGATATACATAACCATTACATAAATTTCTTATTTGAAAAGTAAAATCTCTATTTTTTTTTCTTCTCTAAAATCCTCTTCATAAGCATAATAGCAACTTCCTAAACAAAAATTAAGGAATGGTCATGTCCATTTTTATTTTTTAATGAGTTAAAATTATAGCAGAAAAGGTTAAACGTAATATGTATGCGTATGATTCATTGTCATGCTATCAAATTAGTGAAATGACATTTTTAATAATTTTTTTTATAGAATGCAAATTTAATTAATTCAACATTTATATTCAATAGTATTAGTAATTCAATTAAGTATACAAAATCGTAATAAATTCTAAAATTATTTAATAATTCATTATATTACTTTATTTTAACATATAAAATGATATCCCAAATACATATTGTTAAATAATATATTGAAAAAAATTTAAATTATTTGTGTTATATTATAAATACAATGATTAAATTAATCAAATTTAAATAAATATATTATTTTATTAATTTGACATTATAATGTCAATCAACCTTAACATTCATAAATATTTTTAAAATGTATCATATTAATAATAAAAAAATATTATTTTATTAAAAAATTAGTTCTCGATAAATACTAGTACATTTAAAAAAAAAGAGATTAAACTAAAACTCAAATTGAATAATTCCAAGCGTGTGGTTCAGCGATAGAAGTTGATCCACGCTTAAGCAAGGTCAGAGATTCGAATCCTACCTTGTGTATGCAGTCGCGTTAAATCTTGGAGCCAGCTATCCCACCTTTTGAGATGCCTCTAACGTAGCGAGGAGATTAGTCACTACTATCGGCCCTGGATACTCCAGGGACAAAAAAAAAAAAAAATTCAAATTGAATATATCTTGTCTAAAGCGAATTTAGAAGGACCTTTTCCCCCCGCAACATGTACTTTTTCATAAGAATATTTCTGTCTAACACGTTGCATTCAAATAATTAAGAGAAAAAATATGGCGATTGATTAAATCTAAATGATTAAAATATGTGTTGCAGATACATATGTTTGTGTTGCAGATAAGATGATTACGATACTGATCTAGCAGGTAATTGGTCCACGTGGACTTGTCTATAAGATGAAGTCGACATAATTGGTGGTCATGCCACCTTCCAGCTTAGCGTGCTAAACACAAATTCCCTATCACACTTAAAATAATTGCTATTAATAAAATACATGCTTCATTTAAACACACACTCATAAAAGTGCTTACACAGTGCTTTAGGTTGTTAATTGGATCAAATTATTCTGACGAGTTCGATAAATTGAATTCAATTAATTAAATTATTTTAGATTTTTTTTTCAAATTTAACCCGAACTAAATCAATTATACTCAATGTTAATTGATTTAAATATTAAATTTATATATTTAAAATTTGAATTAATTCTAATCAAACCAATTAATATATATATATATATATAATTTTATTATTATTTTTTATTTGGTTAACAATTAATATGTATGTATCATTTTGATTATTTTGAAGATGATTTCATAATATAATTGTAGATTTTTTCATCTTTTTTTCAAATACTTAAAGAAATCAAGAAGAATTATATTGTAAAATATTGAGTATCATTTTCACATACTTTAGTGCATTTAAAGTTTTTAAGTAAATTAGAAAAAGAAACTAAGAATAATTATGTTGCAAATCTATCAATTTAGTTAATTTTTTACAATATATCAATTTAGTTAATATTGAAAATTTTATTTACTTTGAAAAAAATATTTTTTTAAAAAAAAATTTGGGTATCCAATGATTTGAATCCAACCAACCCAATCAACATTAGGTTGGTTCAATTTAGGTTAAGAGAAAAGTTTAAATTTTAAATCAATCTAAATCAATTAAATTTAATTGATTCAGATTGAATTTTCATCTAAACCCAAATCAACCTAACTTGTGAACACCCCTGCCGTACCTAAACACTTGTGATGGTCTTACCCAAGTAATGTACAAATAATGTGACAATTTTACCATTTATAATGGTCTAGTTCATTTTAAATAGACATATTTTTAGTAAATTAAAAGTGCTTATGATCTATTAATATATATATATATATATATATATATAATATGATGAAATTATAAATAAATTCATATAAGTAGTGCTAATAAGAATAAGTGTGATTCATTAGTAATAAAAGAGTTGTTTTAATGATTGATTATAACTAGGTGTAAAAAAAATGTATTTGATTATAACTATGATTAAATAATAATTACTAAATTATTTTTTTTATTGATTTGTTGATTATTAATGTAATAATTTTTTATATTTAAATAGGGTAAATGGAAAGAGAAATTTAAATTAATATAAAAATACTCTTTATTGTAAATTACATAAATGGGATATGTAATTATTTTTCGATAAAATAAACTTAACTCATCATTAATAATATTTTGAGCAATGTAAAATGGGATGTGCCTAAACTCTTTCCAACCTCAAGATCCCTAACCTAGTTGATAGCTTCCAAAAGTGTCAAAGCTTCACCTTCATGTGACTTAGGAAGGAAAAGGAAGTTGTGGGATCTACCACTGATGAAGTTGCTCGAATGGTCCCAAAGACAAATGTCAATGCTGTAAGAAATTGCCCTAGTGAAGAGAGCAACATCTATATTGCATTTAATAGTATCTGAGCTAGTAGGGAGCCATTGATGATGACTTCTCCTCGGACCAAAAGAAGGAAAAACATTTATTCTATGACGAGCTTGGACCCAATCAACAAGAAATGCTTTATCTTTGAACACAATCTCATTTGGATCCCACAAAACTTCTTCCCAAAGTAACTTGTTTCTATTGTACCACATACTTTAGATTAGCATAGCAAAGTCAACTACTTTCCTAGCCTCCTAACTTTTCAACACTTCAAAAATCAACTCCTTCAAACCTTCCACGACCTGGACAAGCCACTTCATCTAATCACCAAGGGGATTGGTAGACCAACATTATTTTTCTTTGGAGCACCCAAACAAAACATGCTAAGCATTTTTGACATTATTGTCACACGACACACAAGAAATTGGGCAATTAACGCCCAAAAACTGAAGCCTAGACCTCGTAGGAAGGACGTCCTTACAAACCCTCCACAGAAAGCTTATAACTTTCATTAACACCTAAAGCTTTCAAATATCCTTCCAATTTCCTACCTCCTTCAAATGGTCAATATTGAGCGCGTGAGTCATGTAACCTTGATAAACTGATCTAAGTGAATAACAACCATTGTTACTTCAACTCCAAATTCGAAGATTGAGCCCATCAGTATCAAGTAAGGGTGTACATTTGATGGTTTCCCTATCCTCAGAACTGAATGAAGCGCTAATAACATTGAAAATTCAACAACCATTTGTTTTATCAATAAGACCACTCACCTTAAAATCCTGAAGTCCCTTGATATGATTTGTGTGAATGCATTACATCCTTGTAGATTATCTAATGCAAGGTTCATTCCATACTGGTATATTGTTATTGCTACTAATCCTCCACCAACTACCTAGCTTGATGAAATACTTAGCACAACAAATGCTTCTCTAGGTGAAACTAGGATTATGACCCAACTTATCCTTCATGAAGTTACTGTCAAAGTAGTACCTTGCTTAAAGAAGACAACTAACTAATGAGTTAGATGAGTTAGAGTCGGAGGTTAGCTGTCAGGCTTGTTTCCCCCATAACAGCCAAATTGAAAGTTGTTAAGTTTCTAAAACCCAGCATGTTCTTTCCTCAAGGATAATTTATCCTATTGTATCCAGTTAATACCATTGCCTTGCCCCAGCCTAAAGCCCAACTAAAACGTGTTCAACATCCTTTTAATCTCTTTTAACAAAGAATGAGGAAGAATGAAAACACTCATGATGAATGGAATAGCATACAACACAACCTTAATCATAACTTCCTTCCATCTATAAATAGAACTCTATTGATCCATGATTAAAGCCTCTTCCAAATGTGATCCTTTACAAAGCCAAAAACTTTCTTCTTGTTGGGACACACCAATGAAGGAAAACATATATACTTTGCTAAGGAAGTAACTTCATTCACACCTAGAATACTCAAAATAGATGCATGTGTTCCATGGTGAATATTCCTACTAAAATAAATGTTTGATTTATCCAAGTTTATTGATTGACTTAAAGTAGCTTCAAACACGTTTAGAATCTTGGTTATTACTCTCACTTCTTTGTCATCAGCATGAAAGGACAAAAAAATCAGCAACAACACGTCAAGTGGTTGATAGAAGGAAAATATATGCACATTTGAATGTCATGGATATCTCTAGAGCTTTTGGCATTACTAGTAAGACGATCGAAAAAACTTCCCATGTAAAGGATAAACATAAATTGTGATATGGGATCACCTTGCTTTAGACCTCTACTTGAGGAGAAGGGGTTGACATGATTATCATTAACGATGACCTCGAAGCTAATTGACTTGATACACATCCTCATCCACTTAATCCATTTACAAACAAAAAAATTAGCTTTTGAAGAACTTTCTTTGTAAACCCAATAAATCTTATAATAGGCTTTACTAATATCAATTTTTAAAGCCACTTTACATTGATTCCCTCAACCACAACAGTGGAGATAATACATAATCTTTGAAGCCACCAAAACATTATAAGTGATGAGTTTGTTATCGATGTCTACTCTGAGTTGATGCAGTAGGATATAAACTGTTTTGAGTCTATGGTAAGGGTTTTAGAGAGGATTTTGTACACCAAGTTACATAAAGCTATAGGTTTAAGATTCTTCATTGTCTTTGGATTCTTGCATTTTGGGATAAGAACAATAAGTATATCATTAAGGTGGGCTGGGAGCTTACTTTTATCGAGCCACTATATACATGAACGAAAGATGTCATCACTACACCTTTTGTAACGACCTGCCTAGTCACTACACTTACTATGGTCCAACAACAACTAAGAGGAAGCACAAACATCAAATATTTGCCTAGGATATCATGCGAGCAATCATTTATGTAGGAAATAAAACAATTATTCTATAACATATATACATACTTATACAAAATAAGCAACTATTGTATATAAAATCAACCTACTCGCCGACCAAACGTCTATACAATACCTAGCTACCTCAAGGTAGTAACATCCAAAAGAGGGCCACCTCCAATGTGACTCGCCATAGAACAACATAACTTGACCTGCTAATCCCGTCTTGCTCCTATACCAAGTATGATCATAGCAATCACAAACCACTAGAAAAAAAAATATGGTAAGCTTGTGAAACAAAACAATGTCATACCAACAACATTCAACACAAACAACTAAAATGGCACCCTTTAATACACCCGATAATAATTCTACAACACAACTTAAAGTACTTGAACAACTCGTACAACTTAGCAACTTCATTATAGATATCATATAACACATAGTCATCAAACAACATCACACTCACGACTTTCACCATATAACAACCTATACATCTTTACACCTTCAACTTAACCCCTTTCAATATGCACATATACATATCACCAGAAAATATGAACATCTATGTCATCAACACATCACAAACAACATAGCACAACACAAACACTTATTTGATTATCATCCACCTCACACTTGTAGTAGAACAACATATATTACACACACACACACACACACACACACACACACACACATATATATATATATATATATATATATATATTATATATATATATTCGATTAGGGACTAAGTTTCCAACCTCGTACTTTACTCAGTTGGTCATTTATAATCAGTGTAGCTTGACCTTACTCTTATACTATGATCACTTTATACACATGTATCTTGACCTTACTCATTTACAAATACCATATAGAACCTAGAGGAGACAATTGAAAACAACATACCCATTCAGAAGTTGACTTACTAACTGAAAGGGTTCAACACAACGTATATCTGCATAAATGGGATATTAAATCCGAAAAACATCTTTAACTCTCTTTTAGTTCCTATGTATCTGAACATATACATTTATCACAATCACATGTCTAACAATTTAACACCTTAACAACTTATCATTATACATCATTAAGGTGTAAACATCATTCAACTTACATCTCAAATATACAACAACATAACATTATATCAGCTTACATCTTTACAACTTAAAATCATCTTTTAACAGACATACCAACTTTTAACTTAACAACAATAATAAATACAACATTCTATACATAACAACTTTACAACTTTGAACTTTAAGAATTATCAACACTCATCTTATAACATATATATCATCACATTCGACATCAACATACAATCTTCTACATTGTCAACATATCATTCCATCACACATCTCTAGCAACTTAGTAGCATACAATTTTATAACTTTCATGTCAACTAACTTACACCATTCAATTTATAACACTTCATAGCATATGCAAAAAATCCATACACCATATTTTTCCTTAAGAACATAATTAGCATCATACATCATCCATCATAAATTCATATATCCTCATTCAACTATAAGACAACTTAAACCATCCTACAACATGTATAACATAAAATTATTAACTTTCAATTTGTAGATTTCATTATCATATGACATCTTCATACAACCTATTCATCATCACTTAGCCATAAAACAACTTAAACAACAAGTATTCATTATACATCTCATTCAATATGAAAGCAACCAACTCAATTAGAAAATAAAATATGTGACTAAGTGAACATGGAATCTCACACTAAGTGTCAAGCTTCTAGAGGGTCTTGTAATAAAATTTTCAAGTTTCTACACTGAGTATGAAATTTCATGCTTAGTGTCAACTTTCTAGTGGCACACCTAATTTTCATGCTAAGCATGAAACTCACACTTAATCTCACCTTTGCTAAGTGTGATAACTCACGCTTAGTCTCAATATTCTATATGCACTTCCCAATTCTCACGTTAAACGTAAAAATCTATACTTAACCTTAGAAACAAAAAAAAAACATAATTAAGTTTAAGTTGACTCACTTAACCCACTTAGAATTAAAATCTAATAAAAATATTATTTTTTAATAATTAAAAAAAACATATACATATATTGTATCTATATTTAAATCAATAAATGATTTGATAAAAAAAATTGTCTTTTTTTCTCTAAAAAATATAATCATTATTGATTTTTATTAATATTTTTGTTTTAAAAAATTTGACAAGTCAACTCATTCTCGAACCAATTGAGAATTTATTAAATCACTACAAAGGGTTTTCTATAGGAATTATAGTCATTTTTTATTTTTATTGAATTATTGGTCCTATCATAATATCATATAAAGTATTTTATTATTTTTTAAATATATTTTTTAATTTTAATTCTAATTTGATTTAAAAAAGTAGTCCAAAAAAGTTATACTTTTATGATTTTCCGTATAGTTAATTTTCTTAATTTTTTATAGCTTTCAATTTATTTTATCTTTACTTTTAAATTATGTTTCAGTATTTTTTTTTACAAAATACGAATAATTAAAATAAAATAAAATTACGACATAAATTATTTATGATAAGTTCAAAACAATATATATATATAATAATAATAATTTATTTATTAGAAATTTCAACTATAATATATTTTATATATTTAATAATATTTATTTTGACTATAAATTTCAATTATATAATGATAATAAACATTAATCATATAAGCTAAAATGTCAATTTGAATAAAAAATAATACACCTAAAAACAAAATATTTATATTTTCACTTTACTCATTAGAGAATTATTTTTAAAATAAAATAATAAAAATATTGAGAATAAAGTTTTTACTAAAATATTAATAATTCACTCTTACCATATATTTTTTTAATTAATATCAAACTTAATTTTGAATATAATGTTTTATTCACTATTTCTTTAATCAAGCTGCATGACTAAACATAATTTGCAACTTCATTTTTGTTGAACAGTAAGGCATGGTGGTTTCATGTGAAGGTTAATAATGAAAATCACAACCCAACTCAACAGAAACAGAGAATGAAAAACATTTCAATACAGCGCGTGCTTTAACTTAGCGCTTTATAACCGTGCCGTTAAATAAACAGCCCTTACAAGGTGACCAAAAGTCAAGTTCCCCAATAATTAGGAAGCTGCCAGCAAACACCGTTAAACGGTTTAATCAATCCCCGGTTACCCAATTTCCGTTCTCCGCCGCCGCCGTACATGCCCTGACCGGTTCATTTCGGTCACCCCTCTCTCTCTCAAGTCTCAACCTTTCTAAAAAAAAACTGAATATACATAAAAACACATTTTATTTCGTATAAAAAATCCAAAAAGGCTAAAAAATTAATTCTAGAGAGAGAAAGACATAACACCTTCAACTCAACTTCAGAGAAAGTTATTGGAATTGTTTATTTATTTTTGTTTTCCTTTTCCGCTTTGGGGCTGCGAGTGTGTGTTGTGGCTTTGATATTGTCTCCGTTCCCGTTTCCTTCTTCTACCGCTTCTTTTCTTTTCTTTTCTCTGCGTTTCAACTTTCAACACAGAAGAGAGAGAAAGGGAGGGAGAAGATAGAGAGAGAAAACCTAGACACTATTTTTCCTTTTCATTTCGCTCGTTACTGTTTTCGTCTTCGAATTGAGGAATCGTCTCGTTCCTGCTAAGCCTTTTCAATTGCGAGCATTGAGTTTGCTTCTTTGCTTCTTCGTGGCGCGTCTTCTCGAAGCCAGCGAGCTCGTTTGAGGCCTTTGGATTCCGCCGAACGAATCGAAATGTTGTTTCCGAATGCGATTTCGCCGGAATTCTAGCTCCGATCTCACGAAATTGCTCGAATCTTAGGGTTGAAGCAATGGATGTTGATTCCTCCATGGTGCCGGAGGCCGATCACGATCCGGCCGTGCAGAACCACGCCGCCGCCGCTCCTGCGCCGGCTGCGACGGAGGGAGAGCATCTGGCGGAGCCACCGTCGTCCGGAGGCGGATCTCCGGCGCAGCCTCAGGTGCAGCAACAGGCGGCGCCTGCTTCGGCGCCGCAGAGTCCGGTGGTTGGACCGAGGCTGGCGCCATCTTACACTGTGGTGAATGCAATTATGGATAAGAAGGAGGACGGACCGGGGCCGAGGTGCGGCCCCCCCAGGCGCGACACTCCGCCGCAGCCCCGGGTGCAGCAACAGGCGCCGCCTGCTTCGGCGCCGCAGAGTCCGGTGGTTGGACCGAGGCTGGCGCCATCTTACACTGTGGTGAATGCAATTATGGATAAGAAGGAGGACGGACCGGGGCCGAGGTGCGGCCACACGTTGACGGCGGTTGCGGCGGTCGGAGAGGAGGGGACGCCGGGGTACATTGGTCCTCGGCTAATTTTGTTCGGTGGTGCCACTGCTCTTGAAGGGAATTCCGCGGCTTCAGGGACTCCTTCATCTGCTGGAAATGCTGGCATACGTATGTATTTCATTATTTTACTGTTTTTTTCATTTTCCCCTGCATATGTTAACGTACCATTCCGCGGGATATTGTGGTTGAGTATTTTGGGTTTTGGTATGTGTTAGTTTGAATGTCTGCTAACTAAACGCTTTGCATGCTTGATGTGTTTTAGAGTAGAATTAAGTTGTAGCTACACACACGGGGGTCTTTTGTTTTTGTCACGGTCTAGCTAGGTGTTAGTTATAGCTATTGATTCAATGTGATGGCTCTTTATTGCGTATTTGTTTTAGGTCAGGTAAATGCATAGATGGTGATGGATTGGTAATATTTAGGCTATTCAATTTTCATGGCATCTTTTAGCTTTTAATGCTTATGGACTTGTTTCCCTCCATGGAAACTAGGGTTTTCATAAATCTAGCTTTGTTGATCAAGGTTTTAAATCTTGGTTGCGGTTGCAATTGCTTTGTGGTTTTGGTTGTGGCAGGCACCACCAGCAAGATGTTATAAGTGCTTCACGTTGTGCTGTCCACATTTTAATCCTTGTTATTTATTTGTTTATCTTTTGGGATAGAACCTGGCTGTGTTGATCAAGGAAGCTTCATACTAGTTCACTTTGATGGATGAGATAGATTGGAGTAGAAATGAATGGAAATCACATTTACGATTATTCATTTGTTGGATAGTTTAGAATAACAAAAGAAACCAAGCCTTGTCCCTTTGGCGGTGTCATGTCATCTACATAGACCAAACAACGTCACAGCACTTCATCAAGAACAAAAGTTTTCAATAAATTCAATTAGAGTAAAACTGATATGAACACAAAATCTCACAGCAGCAATTAAAACCTTTTTAAAGTTTCCTTCTAAAGTTTTCTTTGGTTTGTCTTCACCCCTTTCAATTAAACTATTCAATTTGATTTACTCTCATTGGGCCTTTGTTGTTCTATTGCAGTTTTGCTCACATGATCAAACCAACTTAGACTAGTTTATCTTTTTTCTATTCATTAAGTGAAACTCCAACTTTCTTCCAAATATTTCATTCCTAATCTTATCTTAGGGATAGAGTATGAGTCTGTGTGCATTTGACCCAAATAAATGTAATGAATTAATTATTTATGTTACAATTTTGTTTCTATTTGTGGTCGGTTGTCATTTGGGAAATTCATAAAATTTTATTTAAAAGTCTTTCCGTAGACTTCACTTTTTTCCTATTTTGAGGGGAACAATAACTCAAGGAGACATATTTCATAGGGGACACTTCATTCCATTTGGTTTTCGATATAATGCATTCTAAAGATGGATTTAATGGTTCTTCCTTGGTCCTGTTAGTGTCTGTTCTGTTCCACTTCATAGCCTATGACAAGCTCTAATTCACCCAAACAAGCTGGACAAGCACTAATCCCCCAAACAGATAAGCTCTCTTGAGAGAAAGGCCATGGATGGTTTTATATGTAACACACCCTTTAAGCAAGAGAATCTCAAGCAGTGCAAAACCCAATTTACCTTACCCTTAAATTTACTTTAATTATCAAGAATGATGGTGGCAAGGACTGAATTCCTGACCACGATTGTGGCAACAACTCTTCTAAAAGCTTAAGATCTTTGGTGGAGGACTGAAAGTCTGAGAATGTGACAATGAGTTTGGACTGGTTGTACCTTTCCATTTTTCGTATAATTTTTTTGGTTATCATATATGATAAACCATATTTAGTGACATCTTTGGTGCAGTGGTATACAGAGCTCAATAAACCCCTTTTTTACTTTAGAAAGAATGGTTCTATTTCAGCTTATGTTGTGAGAAGTATTCATTTCAAATGATGTTCCATAGCAGTTCTTGAAAATAAATAACAATGCATTTTTTGTTTCCACATTGTTTCAATGCTCTCTATTGTAACCTGGAATATTATGTTTTTGTTAATTTCAAAGCCCTGGATAATTTTTGTTCTAATTCTCTAAGTCATCCTAGTAGGAAAATGTTCATAACTCTATTATTTGTGGTGCAAATTGATGTTGGTAAACTATATACCAAAAACTTGATTTGGTGTAAACATTTTTTATTATTGGGGAATTGGCTATATTTGCTTATCTTCCTGGTAGGAGTAGTACAATGCAAACAATAATTTATGTAGATTTATACATTTTCTCAGTCGAAGAATTGATATTGATCGGATTAATAGAGCTTCTTTTGTGAATTAAATGACATGGATTATAGTTTTAACAATTGAGTGTAAATGTGCTTATGCTCAAAATTTATCATATTATATGATTTGTGTTTCAGGTTTAGCTGGTGCCACAGCTGATGTCCACTGTTATGATGTATTGACTAATAAATGGTCTAGGTGAGCTTAAAACAAAGTTATTTTTCTCACTTCCATCATGACTTAATTAATGCTTGTATAGACTTACATACTTTGTACTATCAGTGCATAATAAGGGCAATATCATGCAGGATAACTCCCTTTGGAGAACCTCCAACTCCAAGGGCTGCACATGTGGCGACTGCTGTGGGAACTATGGTGGTTATTCAGGTAGCATGGCAAGGATATCTTATAGGTTATCATGATATTACTGAATTTTTTCCTTTCTTTAAATAATTAGCTTAGTTCATAATGGAATGTTGCCATGTTACACAGGGTGGCATTGGTCCTGCTGGTTTGTCAGCAGAGGACCTTCATGTTCTTGATCTCACTCAGCAATGGCCACGCTGGCATAGGTTTGAAGCATTACATTTTTTTTTCCTCGATGCCTTATGTTTCCAATGTTAATTTTCTAATCTAGTGGGTTCTGAAATTTATGCAGAGTGTCTGTTCAGGGCCCTGGACCTGGGCCACGCTATGGACATGTAATGGCTTTGGTGGGGCAGAGGTATCTAATGGCAATTGGAGGCAATGATGGTAACTACCCACATGCCATCCATTTTTCATTGTTTACCTTGGTTGTTCTTATGTGTGAAAATTTATTGGATGTCACACTACTTGGTCTTTGTTTTCCAGGAAAGAGACCTTTGGCTGATGTATGGGCCTTGGACACAGCTGCCAAGCCTTATGAATGGCGCAAGTTAGAGCCAGAAGGAGAGGGCCCACCACCATGCATGTATGCTTCTGTCTCCACGAATTCTGCCTTATTAGACTGATATTTTGATACCACTCTGCATTTGGTTTTAAATTTTTATGAACATTTATAGGGTTTGTGTACATTTTAGCATTTGAAATCATGAAATAGGTTGTGAAGGCTGACACTCTAATTATTGCACTAGCAAAACTGTTGAGTGGTTAGATTCAACGCTTCATTCTAGTTTGCTTCTATGTTAATTGGATTAAATAATGTTTTTATGGATTTAATTTAGTTGTTAATTTCCTTTCATGTTCATAGTTTTTTTTAAAGTATTTTTCACTTCAAGTCTTGGATTTTTTTTTTAATCTTTTTCTCCTTTTTTTTTCTCTTAAAATAAAACTTGACTATATTTCTACTAAAATTAAAACAAGTTGAATTGTCTGAAATTTTCTTTAGTTTTTCCTTGTAGCAATGGTGTCCATTTGTTTACTATCATTACTTTGTAAAGTTGGACTGTCATGTTATCTTGTGATTGCCTTATTCTTTATGTGAGCATAGTGCTTATAGTAGGCTCACCTTCATTTTCTTGTTTTTCTCTTTTATTTTATATATGAAAACTTGAGTTAGACGATTGCAGCATGATTAGTGTTTCTAGAACCTCATCTTAATTTGATAGTTTTGACTAGCATTAATATTACTGTTTCTGGAACAAGATTATCTCATTATTGCTTTCTTTTGTGTTAGCACAAGAGAATCTTAGAATATGTAAACAAACATTTTTGTGAAGTGTAGACTTACCTTAAGTTTATGAAGTTTGCTATCATTTAGTGCAACTTGTCATGATTCAATTTTCATTTTTCTATTTAATGTTGACCAGGTATGCAACTGCAAGTGCACGCTCTGATGGACTTCTTCTGCTTTGTGGAGGGAGGGATGCCAGTAGTGTTGTGAGTTATCTATTCATTCTGTTGATTTGATTTTCATGGGAAGCTTGTAATTTGTGTCTGATACTCGAGTTTTTTTTTTTTTTATGTGATGCCCCTTTTCTTTGCATTTCCTTGCATGTGGCTTGTTCTTATTGAATTTTAACTAGATTGTTATTTGTTGTGACTCCTGTGAATTACTTCTTCCTATGCTTTGTTGAAAATATCTTTTTACCATTTATGTTTGCAGCCATTGGCAAGTGCATACGGACTTGCTAAACATAGAGATGGTCGTTGGGAATGGGCAATTGCCCCTGGTGTTTCACCATCACCAAGATATCAGCATGCAGCGGTTGGATTTATTATCTTTTATTTATTCTCATTTTTCTTAGTTGAGTATATGTTCAGGGATCATGCTTAATTTAATGATTCTAGGTGTTTGTTAATGCAAGGCTCCACGTGTCTGGTGGGGCTCTTGGTGGAGGACGGATGGTTGAAGACTCATCAAGCGTTGCAGGTGCCAATTGTTGTGTTGCTTAAATTTTTTCTGTTTGTTGCCTGGTGCTTTTTTATTTTTGTTATGATCTGGATTGTGTACTTTAAATGGTCTATTATTTTAATTTCTTTGTATATTATGGAGGCAACATTTAATGTTATTCCAATTGATGCTGCATTAAATTTTTTTTTTTCTGTTTGTAGTATTGGACACCGCCGCTGGTGTTTGGTGTGATACAAAATCTGTTGTTACCAGCCCAAGAACTGGTAGATACAGTGCTGATGCAGCAGGAGGAGATGCAGCAGTTGAGTTGACTAGGCGTTGTAGGCATGCAGCTGCCGCTGTTGGTGACCTAATTTTTATTTATGGTGGTTTACGTGGGGGTAAGTCATAAATATAACTTCTTGTGTGTTCATCCTACTGGATTTTATTTCATATTTGCTTGGTATCTTATGATATTTTTATCGCTCTAGTTATAGTTATTCAGATAATTACTTGGCACTCCTTACAAGTTACAATACAGTTGGAAATTCTTTTCTGTTATCTTTGATATACATGTTCTGTTCTTTTAATAAAACTAGGTCAATTTTGGCTGCTATGACATTGAGTAAACAATCACGAGAGGAAATTCCAATAATCTGAGTTGCTAAGTACTTTCTTCTCAGATGAAAAGTATTCTGTTAGTGACTAAGGTAGTGTGTTTGTCTCAGTTTTTTTTCTGGCTTTTCTTTTCCTTAATTGGAGAAAAGCTCTTAAAAAATGAAGAATATTATTTTTTTATAAAAAAATAAAAAATAAGCTGCACACCTTTGCCTTCTCCCTTTTATCCTGAACTAATTGATGTGGGACAAAGAAATACACTACTAGGGCCTATTTAGGTAAACTTCTGCATAAGACTTATACGAGAGAAAATAGGAAGGAAAAATGAAATAAGCTTCTTCATAAGCTAAAATTACCTTATGCATAAGTTAATTAGTTGAAACTTTTTTCCTATTAACTTCTCCAAAATCTTATTTTTAACTCATGCATAAACTAATTTTAACTTATGGAGAAACTTATTTTGACTTTCCTTCCTGGTTTTTTCTCCTACAAGTACTTCTGGAGAAGCTTATCCAAACAGACTCTTAGTTTTAAAGGAGCTTTTAAGCTAAAACTGCAAAATAACTTGTACATTATTTGTAAAGCTCTTATTTTGAGCTTTAACTTTAAAGTAGCCTTTAAGCCATAAAAAAGCTGGGCCAAACATAACATAAGATTTATTTTATTGATTCTCTTTAACAACCAAGGTGTGTTTTTCCTTTTGATCAAGTGGATAAAATTTTTGCCCGTTATTGCTATTCAAGAGAATGGCCATTTAATCCCTGTTCATCTTGCAAGCTGAAATCTATGATTTCATCTAAAATATTTATTAGCTTTCCTGTATGATGATCTAACCAATTCATCACCTCAAGAGCTGGGCTGACTGTAATGTATCATGTTCATTCTTCAGGAATCTTGCTAGATGACCTACTTGTTGCTGAAGATCTTGCTGCTGCTGAAACAACAGCTGCTGCTTCACATGCTGCTGCTGCAGCAGCTGCTTCTAATGTACAAGCAGGGCGCTTACCTGGACGATATGGATTCATTGATGATAGATCAAGGCAAACAATGCCTGAGGCTGCTGCTGATGGTTCTGTTGTTTTGGGAAGTCCAGTTGCACCCCCAATGAATGGTGACATTTATAACGATATCAGCACTGAAAATGCCATGCTTCCAGTACCTCGGTAAGACAGTTTTTTTCATTCTCATTGGGCAAAGCATTTAATGTTACTCGTTTGGCTTCATTCATCTGAAGGACTTTGAACAGGCGAACTGCTAAAGGAGTTGAGTATTTAGTTGAAGCATCAGCTGCAGAAGCGGAAGCAATCAGTGCTGCACTGGCTGCTGCCAAGGCACGGCAAGAGAATGGAGAAGTTGAATTGCCTGACAGAGACCGTGGGGCGGAGGCGACCCCAAGTGGGAAACAAACATCTTCCTTGATTAAGCCTGAATCTGATTCTGCAGGTTCAAATAATGTTACTCCTGGTGGAGTCCGGCTGCATCACAGAGCTGTACGTAATACATTTTCATTACTGGGGAAGAAGTATTGTATGCTAGTTTCCATAAAATATTTAGGCCCACTTTTTGGTTGTGTTGAATTTTCTCCAGGTGGTTGTTGCTGCAGAGACTGGTGGAGCATTGGGTGGCATGGTTAGACAGCTTTCAATTGATCAATTTGAAAATGAAGGCAGGCGAGTTAGTTATGGGACTCCAGAAAATGCAACTGCTGCCAGGAAATTATTAGATCGGCAGATGTCTATCAATAGTGTGCCAAAAAAGGTACAGATTGATCTCTACAACTAGTTACTAAATGCAGAATAACAATAATTCATAATTTCATATTAATAATATTAGGAAAATTCCTTGTAGTTTGTTACTTGGTTGGCCATGCTTATTGACCATTCTTTCATTGTCACTGCTTACTCCATCTTACATCACAATTTTCTGATTATTATTTTTGGGGGGTTTCTGGTCATGGTTTACATTTATATTTATATCCGCATGTTGGCTTTATCATATCTCTTCTGTTGGATTACTAAGCAGGTTTGCTTTGTATTGTATTCAGATTCAGATTTGTTTCTTATGGGGTTTCCTCACTTTTATAGGTCATTGCGCACCTCTTAAAGCCTCGTGGATGGAAGCCACCAGTACGCCGGCAGTTTTTCTTAGATTGTAATGAAATTGCTGATCTTTGTGACAGTGCTGAGCGGATATTTTCAAGTGAACCAACTGTCTTACAACTTAGGGCACCAATTAAAATATTTGGTGATCTACATGGACAGTTTGGTGATCTCATGCGCCTTTTTGATGAGTACGGTGCACCATCAACTGCTGGTGACATTGCGTAAGTTCATAGCTTCTGTTGATGGTTTTATTTGTGGATAATGAATACTATTATGGTGTGCATCATGATTAATGTTTCAATTGGCTATATTCCTGGTCAATAGGTTAATATTGTATGTAGGCACGGTTGTTGATGAAAAAGATGTCCAATCAAAACCACAACCAGCTTTCTATATTTACACCAAATTTGTTTTATTTGTATACACACAGTGCATAGTTGAGATCTTTGAGCAAATTTTGATTGATTATCCAACATGCACATTTTATTAATGTCTATTTGATTTTCAATTTTTTTATGACAGCTTTTCTTCACCGATTATCCCATTCTACTCTACCATAACAGAGTGGTTCTTGGCTGTGCATATAATCTGTCTGCTATCTAGTATGCCTAGTTAGCACCAAAATGCATGATTCACGTATTCCCTTGCTGGAATGATATATTGCATTTTTTTTGTAGATTTTATTTTATTTTAATTTTTAAATTGTGCTCTGAATAGGATATCTCCTGAAGTTTGCTTTGGATGCCCTAGCATGCTAGACTTGTTTATTTTAGTGGGGTTAAACAAGGAAATTGTTATGCTAATGTGAGTTTACGGTGACAAATGGAACAGAAATTGGGGTCCAAGAATCTTAAATTATTTTTAATATTGAATGATTTCTTGCAATTCATTGATTGTAAAGATGGTGCTGCCTGAGAAACAAATCAATTGCATGAGGAGTGGAGTGTTGAGAAATAGATTTATTAGTGTGATTTGGATTTAAGAAAATTTTCTTGGCTATGTAGACAAGCACTAGCTGTAGACTAAACCCAAAGTTTATAATTGTCTTTTCTTATAGTTTAGACTTTTAGTATAAATACAAGTGTTAGATTAATATTTATAGCACGATATTCAATCTCATTAGTAAAATATTTTTCTTTTTCCCCTCTTTAAATCTTTTCCCTTTTCCATCTAATCCATAAAATATCAACAGGGCTATTATAATACTAGTTATTTAGGCATATGTTTTTTCTCTGTTGCTAATTTTGCATAAATGACTGTCAGATATATCGATTATCTATTCCTAGGAGATTATGTTGATCGGGGACAGCACAGCTTGGAAACTATAACCCTTCTTCTTGCTCTGAAGGTACTCTTGGTTGTTTAGGTTTTCTTTGTTTTTTTGTCTAGTTTGAAGCCAATTGCTCTGAAGGTACATCATATTTATGCATGGTTTTGTGAATATTGTAGGTTGAGTATCCCAACAATGTACATTTAATACGTGGAAACCATGAAGCTGCAGATATTAATGCCCTCTTTGGTTTCCGAATTGAGTGCATAGAGAGGATGGTAAGGAATTTCATGTACCAGGAATTGTGTCTTGTTTATATCGGAATCATCAATCAATCATATAATTATTGTTGATCAGGGTGAGAGAGACGGAATTTGGACATGGCATCGGATAAACAAGCTGTTTAATTGGCTTCCTCTAGCAGCTTTAATTGAGAAAAAAATTATTTGCATGCATGGCGGTATTGGTCGTTCAATAAATCATGTAGAACAGATTGAAAACATTCAGCGTCCAATTCCAATGGAAGCAGGATCAATTGTGCTTATGGATCTATTGTGGTCAGTTCATGCGTGCTATTCCATGTTTGTCACTGTGCTTCATGTCCTTCTGGATAATAATAGCATGATATGTTTCCAGGTCTGACCCTACAGAGAATGACAGCGTGGAAGGTTTGCGGCCAAATGCTAGAGGTCCTGGATTAGTTACTTTTGGGGTGGGTGCTCCTTATGTGTTGTCATTTTGGAAATAATTTTTAAGATTTCTATCGTAATTTGGTTGTTTCAGTGTTTCTAGACCCAAAAAATGGCAATACATATTAATATGCTAATACTTGTTTATCTGATAGAATTTGATGATTTAGAATGTGCGTATAATTATTTATTTCATTTATTATACTATAAACCCTTGGCAATACACTTCTAATGTATGATTTTCAAGCATCTTTTGAAACTTAGAATCGAAGAATTTAATCAAAATGCACCCATATTATAGAAGTTTCTTACATTGTAATTGAATCATAGATGGTTATGTATGTTAAGATTGTTAACTTGCATAGTTGACAGTGTAAAAAAGTTTAAATTGACAATATGCATATTAAACTCATTAATTGAAGTGTTTCTCTTTGAAACTTTTTTCAAGTTTAGCATGTATCTATTAGATAATTATGTTTGAAAGGTAGAATAGATTTATATTTGAAAGATCATGAAACTGATTAATGCCTGTAAGTTGTTATTTATCCATCCATATGTTATACCCTATAATTTGTAGTTTGTCTGCGATTGATGTAGTATTTCCCACAAGGTTGCTTTGTTGAATAACATGCGTACTTTATGTTTTTGACCTTTCTTATTGATATCCTTGAACATGTGTTCTCATGCTCATTTAATTGTGGTTTGGTACTTCAGCCTGATCGGGTCATGGAATTTTGCAACAACAATGATCTTCAGCTGATTGTTCGTGCACATGAATGTGTGATGGATGGATTTGAGCGTTTTGCCCAGGGACATTTGATCACGCTGTTTTCAGCTACAAATTATTGTGGTATATATGTTAACTAAGTACTGCGTTTCACTTTCCTCCTTTGATCGTGTTCCCGTCTAAATTTTGGCACTCCTTGGTCCAATAGGTACCGCAAATAATGCTGGGGCAATATTAGTTTTGGGTAGAGACCTTGTTGTGGTTCCTAAACTGATTCATCCATTACCACCAGCAATATCTTCACCAGAAACGTCACCCGAACGTCATATTGAAGATACATGGATGCAGGTACTCCTTCAAATATTTTCCATTAAATAGTAGCTCTGTGTAATAATTAGTTAATATAAATGACACGAGCACATCAAAGTTAATAGCGCTGTTATTGAAAAATAAACAATGTTATTAATACATGCAGGAGTTGAATGCTAACAGACCACCAACACCAACTAGAGGTCGACCCCCAGGAACAAATGACCGAGGTTCGCTAGCTTGGATATAGTGATCATCAAGAATTATTTATTCCTTACTGGCTCGTGCTATGCTATCAGCCTTGTTTTAATGTTTTGTATATAGCATGATGCCATTTACTGGAGTCTCCGAACCTACTCCCCGCAGAAAGTTTTGGTTCTCACCACTCCACCAGCAGGCAAGCCTTGATAAGATAAGTACACATTCGGCACGCAAGGTTGGTAGCCACTGCTACGTTTACTTTGACCAAGCTAGAACTCTCCCACCCATTGTAAATTGAGCATAGGTTACAAAATCAAGGTTATGGTTGTCATGGAGCCTATATTTTTGTCTTCAATTCTTACATATTTTTTACTTCTTGCCCTTAGGCTATTGTTGGGGTTTTGTTAATCAAGAGGACGCGGTTTTTTTTTTTTTTTTTTTAATGTGATGGTGAGATATAAATCAGAAATATTTCTTGGAGGTCCTTGTATCATAGGTTTTGCTCTGTAATTTTCATCTCTGTAGAATTAATTTTTGCGTGGATCAGTATTCTCCGACGAAGAATGTTAATTTTTGATAGTAGATTTTGTATTTTACATTGTGCCGCAAATAACTAGGAGATCGAAATACTTATTTTAACAAATTATCCTTGACCAAGATAAGAAAGTGCAAGCCAATATATTGTCTCCATTTTTACGTTAAGCTGAATACGTGAAATTGTCAATTGTATAGAATAAAATAAAATTCTGCATAAACCCTTGTCTAACCTAACATCTCGTTACCTCGCTGCGGATGATCAGAAATAAAGGTTTCTTTTTTCAGCTTAATAATTCCTATGTATCAACATTGGGGTGTAACGTCCTAATGGGATATTCATATTCATTGGATGGAGGTCTACATGCCTCAAATGACCTTAGTGATAAGCTACAAGTTACAAGTATCAATTTGATACAATAGATAGCCTGCCTGCCTGCATGCATGAATAAGTTCTCTCGGACTCCTCGTTCAGCTGATTGCCGTCACCCCTAACCTCTTTTTACAGGCCTCTGAACGTAGGATTTGTTGGGATCTTCCGTCTTGAGCTTTGGGGGCCGAATTTCTCCTTTCTTGTTCTGCAGACATGTAAAATAGTGATATTACTTGAGCAATTCTTTGATTCCAAGGTGCATGTCAAATTAGTATATGAAAATCAGAAAGCTTAATATCTCACCTTCTTTCCACCCTTCATAAAGTCTCTCCAACTGGATACCTGATAATAATGCATTGTGTTAATTTATCTTTCTTTCTTTAAGTGTATATTTTTTCTGATAAGGAAAAAAAAATATTGCATGCCAACAAAGGACACGTGAAAAAATGTCTCTACTCAACATTCATTTTTTAAACAACTTCAGAGTAAAATACGAGAAAAGAATGGTGACCCAATGCACAAGGCTACTTATATATATATCCCCTTATGAGTGGAGAGGCTATTCATGCAGCAGTGACTAAAACTAGTAACCACTCCCAAGCTCATGGCTCCAAAATTATAACAGGTGTGCTGCAACAAGAAAAATAATTTACTCTATTTTAATTCATTTAACTATTTTTTTTTAATAAAAAACTATTATAAATTCAATGAACCCACAAAATGGATGCCAAACTCCAAAGACCCCAAAGGCCAAAGTATTACCACCTAAGGTTAGTAAGCATGAAATTGAAAATAACATGGAATTATAATCAGCCTTTGCAAACTGTATCTAGAACAGCTTAGTTTGCAAGGACTTCTTTGGTATCCCTTACGAAGTGGTGCGCCTTCTGTTCAAATATTTATCTCGTTACTATCTTCTGATATGCTGTCACAGTGGTAAACACAAATTGCAGTTTGATGTATATTTGACGTTTAAAAATGGTCAGTAGAAAAAACTAACCCTCTGTTCTCGTGTTCCTTCCCATTCCTCCTCATGTTCACGCTTTCTTTTCCACATTTCTTTCTGTTCCTCTTCGTCCCTTTTTAATCTTCCTTCCTCCTCAGATATCTACATAACATTGAACAAGTTAAAAGGTCTAAATAGTCTCCAAATAATCTTGCTGGCCTTTTTCATGACACGTCAAAATTTGGAAGTGTGTGGGTGGGGGATAATTAGAACATACCCTCATTTGCATTTTTCTTCTCCTCCATTCTTGTTCTGTTAATAGTTCGCGAACTTTGACTTTGAGCTCCTGCTGAAACTCATTTGA